CAAAGTGTTAATAAAAGTGTCCTCTTTCCAATGAACCAACCCGTTTTGAAAAATAACTTTTAGTTTTTGAGAAAACAATATTTGAAGTTTTGATAAAATTTTCGATGTTGCAATTTTCATCGATAATTTTCAAAATTCGCTATAAAATTAATTTCTTGAAGGATCCTTGTGGAAATATCACCAATTATTAATTAAAGTATCCTCTTTTTAATGCAACAAGCCATTTTGAAAAATCACTTTTAGTTCTGGAGAAATAAATTTTTGAAATAATCGACAATTTTTTCGAATTTTACAGTTTTCGCCTATTAAGTTTTAAAAATTCGTATAAAATCGATTTCTTGGAATATGAGTATGAACATTTCCCAAAATGTTAATAAAAGTGTCCTCTTTCCAATGTACCAACACGTTTTGAAAAATAACTTTTAGTTCTTGAGAAAACAATATTTGAAGTTTTGATAAAATCTTCGATGTTGCAATTTTCATCGATAGTTTTGAAAATTCGCTATAAAATTCATTTCTTGAACTATCCTTCTGGAAATATCACCAATTATTAATTAAAGTATCCTCTTTTTAATGCAACAAGCCGTTTTGAAAAATCACTTTCAGTTCTTTACAAATAAATTTTTTAAATGATCGATAATTTTTTCGTAATTTACAATTTTCTCCGATTAAGTATTAAAAATTCGTACAAAATCCAGTTCTTGGAATATGAGTATGAAAATTTCCCAAAATGTTAATAAAAGTGTCCTCTTTTCAATGAACTAACACGTTTTGAAACACAACTTTTAGTTTTTGAGAAAACAATGTTTGAAGTTTTGATAACTTTTTCGATATTGCAATTTTCATCGATAATTTTCAAAATTCGCTATAAAATTAATTTCTTGAAGGATCCTTGTGGAAATATCACCAATTATTAATTAAAGTATCCTCTCTTTAATGCAACAAGCCGTTTTGAAAAAACACTTTCAGTTCTTTAGAAATAAATTTTTGAAATGATCGATAATTTTTTCGAATTTTACAATTTTCGCCGATTAAGCTTTAAAAATTCGTATAAAATCCATTTCTTGGAATATGAGTATGAAAATTTCCCAAAGTGTTAATAAAAGTGTCCTCTTTCCAATGAACCAACCCGTTTTGAAAAATAACTTTTAGTTTTTGAGAAAACAATATTTGAAGTTTTGATAAAATTTTCGATGTTGCAATTTTCATCGATAATTTTCAAAATTCGCTATAAAATTAATTTCTTGAAGGATCCTTGTGGAAATATCACCAATTATTAATTAAAGTATCCTCTTTTTAATGCAACAAGCCGTTTTGAAAAATCATTTTTAGTTCTTGAGAAATAAATTTTTGAAATGATCGAAAATTTTTTCGAATTTTACAGTTTTCGCCTATTAAGTTTTAAAAATTCGTATAAAATCGATTTCTTGGAATATGAGTATGAACATTTCCCAAAATCTTAATAAAAGTATCCTCTTTTCAATGAACCAACACATTTTGAAAAATAACTTTTAGTTTTTGAGAAAACAATATTTGAAGTTTTGATAAAATCTTCGATGTTGCAATTTTCATCGATAAATTTCAAAATTCGCTATAAAATTAATTTCTTGAAGGATCCTTGTGGAAATATCACCAATTATTAATTAAAGTATCCTCTTTTTAATGCAAAAAGCCGTTTTGAAAAATCACTTTTAGTTCTTGAGAAATAAATTTTTGAAATGATCGACAATTTTTTCGAATTTTGCAATTTTCGCCGATTAAGTTTTAAAAATTCGTATAAAATCCATTTCTTGGAATATGAGTATGAAAATTTCCCAAAGTGTTAATAAAAGTGTCCTCTTTCCAATGAACCAACCCGTTTTGAAAAATAACTTTTAGTTTTTGAGAAAACAATATTTGAAGTTTTGATAAAATTTTCGGTGTTGCAATTTTCATCGATAATTTTCAAAATTCGCTATAAAATTAATTTCTTGAAGGATCCTTGTGGAAATATCACCAATTATTAATTAAAGTATCCTCTCTTTAATGCAACAAGCCGTTTTGAAAAAACACTTTCAGTTCTTTAGAAATAAATTTTTGAAATGATCGATAATTTTTTCGAATTTTACAATTTTCGCCGATTAAGCTTTAAAAATTCGTATAAAATCCAGCTCTTGGAATATGATTATGAAAATTTCCCAAAATCTTAATAAAAGTGTCCTCTTTCCAATGAACCAACACGTTTTGAAACACAACTTTTAGTTTTTGAGAAAACAATATTTAAAGTTTTGATGACATTTTCGATGTTGTAATTTTCAAAATTCACTATAAAATTAATTTCTTGAAGGATCCTGTGGAAATATCACCAATTATTAATTAAAGTATCCTCTTTTTANCAACACGTTTTGAAACACAACTTTTAGTTTTTGAGAAAACAATATTTAAAGTTTTGATGACATTTTCGATGTTGTAATTTTCAAAATTCACTATAAAATTAATTTCTTGAAGGATCCTGTGGAAATATCACCAATTATTAATTAAAGTATCCTCTTTTTAGAGTTGCTTCGTTAGATAAATCAGCATCAAAAAAGTTCATTTTGTATCTTGGATCTAAATAAGATTACATATCTTATCAGTTTTCGTATTAATTTCATTTTTATTCAAATATCGCAATAATGTGGCAATATAGGGTATCATTTCAGAAATGCACCAGAAATTGGATATTCGGCCGAAGGGGATGCCGAATATCCGGTATCCGGCTTTTCGCAAAATCACAATCCGTTCCATCACTAGTTTCGACCCTTAGGCATCTTCAGACACTCTACAAATAGATTAATAACTCTCATCTTTTGTTAAAAAAGATCACATATCAAAGTCGAAATCAGATTATTGTTACTAATTTATAAAATTAAAGTTTAAAATGTTGTAAAATGAAATTAAGGACGAAGTGTTACAAGTTTAAAATCGACTTAAAAATCTATGATTTTTTTTTTAATCAAGGTGAAATCACCCAGAAAACAGGTTAAAAATAAAAAGAAAGTGCGGAAAAGTGACTAACACTAGATTAACTTCAGTTATAAAACTTCTATTATATAATAACTAACTTCAGGTTTAAAATGTCAACCTCAATTTTGACATATTTGTAANTTTTGAAAAATAACTTTTAGTTTTTGAGAAAACAATATTTGAAGTTTTGATAATATTTTCGATGTTGCAATTTTCATCGATAATTTTCAAAATTCGCTATAAAATTAATTTCTTGAAGGGTCCTTGTGGAAATATCGCCAATTATTAATTAAAGTATCCTCTTTTTAGAGTTGCTTCGTTAGATAAATCAGCATAAAAAAAGTTCATTTTGTATCTTGGATCTAAATAAGATATGTATCTTATCAGTTTTCGTATTAATTTCATTTTTATTCAAATATCGCAATAATGTGGCAATATAGGGTATCACTTCAGAAATGCACCAGAAATTGGATATTCGGCCGAAGTAAAATCACTATCTGTTCCAACACTAGTTTCGACCCTTGACCATCTTCAGACACTCTACAAATAGATTAATAACTCTCATCATATCCATTTTACAAACAAGTTTCTTAATGTTTCTTTTTCTTTTGTTAAAAAAGATCACATATCAAAGTCGAAATCAGATTATTGTTACTAATTTGCAAAATTAAAGTTTAAAAAGTGATAAAATGAAATCTATGATTGTTTTTTAATCAAGGTGAAATGACCCAGAAAACAGGTTAAAAATAAAAAGAAAGTGCGGAAAAGTGACTAACACTAGATTAACTTCAGTTATAAAACTTCTATTATATGATAACTAACTTCAGGTTTAAAATGTCAACCTCAATTTTGACATATTTGTAATATTCATTAAAAATCCTTTAAAATGAGTACAAACACCACATATTTATCTTTAATATTAATGAAGTTATGATCAACTTCCGGTTAAGAATGTATATTAAAAATATGTCTATCTAAATTCTGTAAGAAGGATGTGCTTCATTTGCAATATTTAGTCTTTCCTAGCAATACTTAGTCTTCCTCCAGCAATATTTAGTTTTTTCAGCAATATCTAGTCTTCTACCAACAGTATTTCATCTTCTAGTAGTAGTGTGAAGAAGGATGTGCTTCATTTGCAATGTCTAATCTTTGACTAGCAATACATAGTCTTTTTCCAGCAATATATAGTCTTTTTCAGCAATATCTCGTTTTCTACCAACTATATTTCGTCTTCTGGTGAGACTGTGTTGTGTTCTATGAAAAGGATTTACACAATTGGTAATATCTAGTCTTCTGATAACAGAATTTGGTCTTCTGACAGTAAAATTAAGTCTTCTACCAACAGTATTTGGTTTTCTAGTAGTAGTGTGTAGTCTTCTGTAAGAAGGGTGTGCTTCATTTGTAATATCTAGTCTTTCACTAGCAATACTTAGTCTTCTGCCAGCAATGTCTTGTCTTTTTCAGCAGTATCTAGTCTTCTGACAACAGAATTTGGTCTTTTGACATTAAAATTATGTCTTCTGCTGACAGTATTTCGTTTTTTAGTAGTAGTGTGTAGTCTTCTGTAACAAGGCTATGTTCTATTAGCAACATCTAATTTTCCATTAGCAATACTTAGTCTTCTGCCAGTAGTATCTAATCTTCTGCCACCAGTATTTCGTCTTCTGGTAACAACAATTGAGGCGTTTAAGTTTACATTTTCTAATAATTTGCCAAAATACTGCCAACCAAATTCTATCAACAACTCATCATTCAATTTATAAACTGAAAATTACGATATTTCTGAGCTCCTAAGATGCCTAACATTTATAGTCTATTTTTAGTTGTTTAAAATATTATTTAATGCTTGAAATTGTTTTAAAATCATAAACCTCAAATAAAAAACATCCATTATAAACGTATCTACATAAAATGAAGGCCAACTTTTTTAGCGTATACTTTTCTGTTGCAAGGTTACAAATTATAAAGCAACTCAATTTCTATTTAATTACCGTAATAAGTTTTCGCAGAAAGAACGTCACATCTCAAAATTGAATCATAAATCAATTCATAGTTAACTTAACAACACTTATTCTAAAAAAAACATCGTTAAAATCGAACAATTTTCAAAATAACTTCCAATTAATTCCAATAAATGTGTTTATAACAGATTTTATGACACAGTTGCAAATGAAATATAAAAGTAGAAACAACATTCTAAGGTAATTCTTTCAAGGTTTCATTGTTTGCGATGGGTTTTGTAACCGCAGAGGAATTATATGGAAGAGATTCGAATTTAAAACGGGATGATGTTAAGATTTTGCAAGAATGGATGGATAAAGAACAACATTTACCTAAAATAACAGGTAATTTATTAATTATTGTTATTTTCTTTAATCTTTAATTTTTTATATCATTTTAGAAGTTTCTCTTTTATTCTTTTTGCACAGCTGTTATTACAAAATTGAAGCAACAAAAACGTGCATAGAAAATTACTTTACGATTCGTTTGCACTGCCCGGAATTTTTTAAGAATCAAAATCCTAAAGATAAAGACGTTGAGCAACAATTAAGACTTTTGTAAGTTAATAAAATTAACGTTCTTTGAAATTTTCAAAAAATCATATCTGCCGTGTTTTTAATGGTAATGATATGGTATGTACGTTAAATTGAAGCTTAAAGATTCTAGTTTATAATGTGATATATAACTCTATGAAAATATCATTGAAATTTCCACGAAAAAATTATTAAGGATGAAATTATTGTCAAATTATAAATCAAAAATAATACGAAATTATAAACAAAATCATATCTGACGTGTTTTTAATGATAATGATATGATGTGTATGTTAAATTGAAGCTTAAAGATTCTGGTTTATAATGTGATATAAAAGCAATATGATAATATTATTGAAATTTCTTATTGAAATTGTAAAATTATATATCACAAATAATACGAAATTTTCAAAAAATCATAGCTGCCGTGTTTTTAATGATAATGATATGATATGTGTGTTAAATTGAAGCGTCAAGATTCTAGTTTGTGATATGATATACAAACTATATGATAATATTATTGAAATTTCCACGAAAAAATTATTAAAGAGGAAATTGTAAAATTATATATCAAAAATAATAAGAAATTTTCAAAAAATCATATCTGCCATGTTTTTAATGATAATGATATGATATGTATGTTAAATTGAAGCTTAAAGATTCTAGTTTATAATATGATATAAAAATTATATGATAATATTATTAATATTTCCACGAAGAAATTATTAAAGAGGAAATTAACAAATTGTAAATCAAAAATAATACGGAATTTTCAAAAAATCATATCTGCCGTGTTTTTAATGATAACGATTTGATATGTATATTAAATTAAAGCTTAAAGATTTTAGTTTATGATGTGATATAAAAACTACAAGATAATGTTATTGAAATTTGCTGAAAAAAATTATTAAAGAAGAAATTGTCAAATTATAAATCAAAAATAATATTTAATGTTGAAAAAATCACATCTGTCGTGTTTTTAATGATATTGATATGATATGTATGTTAAATTGAAGCTTAAAGATTCTAGTTTTTAATATGATATAAAAACTATATGATAATATTATTAATATTTACACGAAGAAATTATTAAAGAGGAAATTGCAAATTATAAATCAAAAATAATACGAAATTTTCAAAAAATCATATCCGCCATGTTTTTAATGGTAATAATATGATAAGTATGTTAAATTGAAGCTTAAAGATTCTAGTTTATAATGTGATATAAAAACTATATGATAATATTATTGTAATTTCCACGGAGAAATTATTAAAGAAGAAATATTCAAATTATAAATCCAAAATAATACGAAATTTTCAAAAAATCCTATCTGCCGTGTTTTTAATGATAATGATATGATATGTATGTTAAATTGAAGCTTAAATGTTCTAGTTTATAATGTGATATAAAAACTATATGATAATATTATTGAAATTTCCAAGGAAAAGTTATTAAATAGTAAATTGTCAAATTATAAATAAGATATAATACGAAATTTTCAAAACATCATATCTACCGTGTTTTTAATGATAATGATATGGTATGTATGTTAAATTGAAGCGTCAAGATTCTAGTTTATGATGTGATATAAAAACTATATGATAATATTATTGAAATTTCCAAGAATAAATTATTAAAGAGGAAATTGTAAAATTATATATCAAAAATAATACGAAATTTTCAAAAAATCATATCTGCCGTGTTTTTAATGATAATGATATAATATGTATGTTAAATTGAAGCGTTAAGATTCTAGGTTATGAAATGATATAAAAACTATATGATAATATCATTGAAATTTCCACGAAAAAATTATTAAAGAAGAAATTGTAAAATTATATATCAAAAATAATACATTTTCAAAAAATCATATCTGCCGTTTTTTTAATGATAATGATATGATATATATGTTAAATTGAAGCGTCAAGATTTTAGTTTATCATATGATATAAAAACTATATGATAATATCATTGAAATTTCCACGAAAAAATTATTAAAGAAGAAATTGTAAAATTATACATCGAAAATAATACGAAATTTTCAAAAAATCATATCTGCCGCGTTTTTAATGATAATGATATGAAATGTATGTTAAATTGAAGCGTCGAGATTCTAATTTATGAGGTGATATAAAAACTATATGACAATATTATTGAAATTTCCAGGAATAAATTATTAAAGAGGAAATTGTAAAATTATAAAAAACAAAAATAATAGAAAAATTTTAAGAAATCATATCTACCTTGTTTTTAATGATAATGTAATATGATATGTATGTTAAATTGATTCTTAAAGATTCTAGTTTATAATGTGATATAAAAACTATACAGGGTGATTCAAAAAACCGCTGACAGACTTCTAGGGCAGGTAATACAACAAAAATTAAGATGAAAAGTCTTAATATACATAGGGTCTTAAATGCCTCCTTAATGAGATATAGCGGGTCAAAGTTTCTTTAAAAATAAACATTATCTGCTATAAAAAGCCCCTTTTTAAAAATATTTTCAACGCCACTGCTAATTTTGTTAAACAGGCAGTATTTTCGTGTAAGTGATCAATTATCTATCAATTGGTCTCTTATAAAACTTTGATCAAAGCAGTAGTTTTTAAGAAAAAACTCGTTTGTAGAAAATTTGTTAATTCAATCAAAAACTGTTCCTTTAATCAAAGTTTTGTAAGAGACCAATTGATAGATAATTGATCACTTTACACGAAAATACTGCCCATTTGACAAAATTAGCAGTGGCGTTGAAAATATTAAAAAAATTATTAATTTTAAAGAAACTTTGACCCGCTATATCTCGTTTGCGACCCCATGTATATTAAAACTTTTCATCTTAATTTTTGTTGTATTACCTGCCCTAGAAGTCTGTCAGCGGTTTTTTGAATCACCCTGTATGATAATATTATTGAAATGTCCACGAAAAAATCATTAAAGAGGAAATTGTCAAATTATAATTTAAAAATAATATGATATTTTCAAAAAATCATATCTGCTGTGTTTTTAATGATAATGATATGAAATGTATGTTAAATTGAAGCTTAAAGATTCTAGTTTATAATGTGATATGAAAACTAAATGATAATATTATTGAAATTTCCATGAAAATGGTATTAAAGAGGAAGTTGTTAAATTATAAATCCATAGTATACGAAATTTTCAAAAAATCATATGTGCCGTGTTTTTAATGATAAGGATGATATGTATTTTATGATATGTATGTTAAATTGAAGCTTAAAGATTTTAAAGATTATTTTTTAAAAAACTTTGTCGTTTTCACAAAAAACTTAAATAACTAAAGACACGTATTTCGTAATGTTACTTAAAATAAGAGAAAATTTAGTAGTCGGCTATGAAATTGTAAGTCAAACTTGACAAATAGGTTATAAAGTTATTTGACGACAAGGTTTTCTCCATCTTTTCTCCATCACCTTTCATTCTTGAGTTATGATCGATTTTAACACCAAAAGTAATCAATTTTT